TTTCCCTATTCTTACCGTTTGATGCAATCAAAAAAAAAAACGAACAACAACAACAACAATCAGAGACATTGCTCTTTGTTAGTGTTCTTCTATTTTTCTCCCTGTTTTGTTTCTTTTAATTAATATAGTAGTCTTGCAAAAGGTTATATGTTATATACTTAATTGATTTTGTGTTGCACTCAAACCATAATTTTTGTATTTTGCTTTCCCTGTTCTTTTTGTTTGGTCCAATAAAAAAAAAAAAAAACAAAAAAAACAAAAAACCAGGATGACAAGAATCAAGTTATGAACACTACTCTCTCTTAGTATAATTCTATTTTTTGAACTGTTTTCTTTCTTTTAATAGATGTAGTAGTCTTGGAAAAGATTATATGTTATATACTTGATTCATTTTTGTGTTGCATTGAAGCCACAATTTCTGTGATAGAGACAATCTCATATCTCTTTGTGCAAATATCCTTAGTAAACAACCAGATCCTATTTATTAGACATTGCTAGGAATGTGTAATATTTAAATCATGATTGTTACACGAAATATTATTATATCTATATCTATTGATTTTTTAAATCTGTTTTCTCCTTTTACTTATTTACTCATTTATTTACTTGATTATTTGTATTTTCCAGGCTTTACTACTGCTCATTGCCCTGTTCTGGTGATTCTCTATTGCTCATTGTTGTTGAGGTTCGGTTCGTTGACATTCCGGACTTAACGCAGGATTTATAGGACTTGAGGTATATCTAACAATTTCTTTCCACATTTCTTTGGCCATTGTTACTTACAGTATAAGTCTTAGTACCCTATGATTAATATTAAAATGAGTTGTTTTTTTTAGTCCTACTAATAAATACTGCCAATAGAACAAGATTCTGCTATCTATGTAGAAAAAGAGAGATAATTAACTTCCATCAATGCTTAGCATAGGAAAATTTACAACAGAAGGACATATATTAGAAAATGATATATATTTTTTTTTCTTTTTTTGATATAAAATAACACAAATTCATTAGTATGTGAACATCAGCTAAAAAAATAATTTTTTTTTTTTAATTATCTGCAACCTGATAATACAGCACACATAGTAGGAAAACACTCAGACTTCTTCTATACAACTAAACGAATAAAAAAATTAATTGAATGATTACAAGAAAAGAAAGGAGATCCATAAATGTTGCTTTTTTCTTTTGTTTTCTTTCTTTTCTTCCCCCCCCCCCCCCCCCCCTATAAATATACTAAAGGGGAGTGGGGGTTTACTGTTCACGCAGGCACAATTCACTGTTCCTTCTACAGTGAAATAACCGTTTTGCCCTTATTTCCCCATTGTTCTGTTCTTCTATGCGGGGGTTTTTCTGTCTTTTTGGCGCCTAAAGCGTTCATCTGTTTTGGCATTCAACTTGGTTTTACGGTTTCGCCCCCGTTTTTTGTTCTCGTTTTCCACTCCTGTCTTGAGGGTTTTCGGTAATTACCCTTTAGAGGGTTACTTTCCTCGGTTTCCTTGCAATTGTGGATGCCCTAAATTCTTTTCTTTCTTTCATTTTTCTCTTCTCTCCGCCTCCTTCACTCGGTTTCTTTCTCATTGGAGAAACCCTAAATTATTTTGCTTCTTTCGTTTGCCCTTTCTCTCCGCCTCCTTCACCTGTTCCATCTTTGTTCCCTTTATTTTTCTTTGGCGAGTGTTTTGGGCTTTTTAACTCATGGATTGATGTTTGCCTCTTTCATTTGCCCTTTTTCTTGGCCTCCTTCATCTGCGTTGTGCCTCTGCTTCCTTCACTGTTCTTCGGCCATCTGCTCTTTGCCTCTGTCTCCCTCATTGTTCTTCGGCGAGTATTGTAAGTTTTTTCTCTCATGGGTTCATATTCCTTCCCTCTGTTATATAATTTCGCCTGATGTTGTTGAGTTTTGTGGTTTTTTTTTCTTTGATTTGTTGGAGCATTTTTAGTTTTGGATTTGATTTGATTTCTCTCCGTTTTTTTGTGCATCGTTATTTTGTGGGTTTGGTTTAATTTCTCTCTGTTATTTTTGTGCATGGTTATTCTGTGCTTTGCAATTTCTAACTAAATGGTGTATTTAGGTTTTGAAAAATTCATCTCTAATGTCTTCTTCTTCTTCCGGGTTGGTCATTTTCTTCCGAGAGTAATTTTTATTTCTCTGTTTTTGTGTTGTCTTTGGCTGATTTGTTTGATGTCCTCGGTCTCTTTGCCTTTTTCACCCCCTTTGTGCTTCCCTTATCTCCTTTCCCTCTTTATTCTCTCGGATATGCTTATGATTTTTCGGCCAATGTCGTGTATCTTTTATTTGTTGTATTGATTTTCTTTCCTTTTCTTATCTGATTTAGGGCAAAATTATGTGATTTTATGGTTTCCGTTTCCTGACTTTTTTGATTGTGTTTATTTACTGTTTTAATTTGATTTTTTCCTGTCGTTTTGGTACAGGTGTTTTCAATATTGGTTTGACTTTTTTGATTGTGTTTGTATTATTATTTATTATATATCTTGTTTTCTATACTAATTATGCTATTGGTGCTCCCAGGTATTAACATTTCTCTACGGTTGCTGCAATCTTGTCCTTTTCTTGTTCTGGAAAGTTTAGTTAATTATGATTTTGCTCTTTGTTAAAGGCCAATCGTGGTTTACCTTTCATGATTCTTGTATAAGAAAAGGTCATTAATGGTTGGATTTTTGTCTGTCATGGATTGTATCTGTATTTACATATACTTCTACCTAGCTTAAAAAAGAAAAAGATAAGTTCATTCTTTTTTTTTTTTTTTCATTTGATTTTCTTTTTTTTTTTTTTTTTCATTTGATTAATTTAGTTCTTTTATATCATCACTTATATTTTTATATTTTGCAGGTCCAAAATGATGTCTCCATCAACTTCATGATCTCAGGATCTTTATGTCCTTTTCTTCTTCCGGGTAGTTAAATAAATCTTATGTGTTGTTTTTTATATCACGTGATTTATTCTTACTTGCTCTTTAGATAGAATACGACATTATTTGTTCAGATTTCTCTCTACTAAAAGAAAAAAGAATCAAATTGTTTGTAAAATTTGAGGTTTCAAATTGTTTATAGCTGATGAAGATAAGTTTTCCTTTTGAACTCAAAAGTTTGTAGTTATGATTTACCCCATTTGACATTTCTTTCTATATAAATTCTTTAGAATCCAAAGAGGATTTTAGGTTCTACTTTGAAAAATGAGTTAAATTTCTTAATTATAAGGAAATTGAGTATATTATGGAGAGTTCTCATATTTTCAAATAAATACCTGTTTGGTCAGCTGCTTTATTTATTTTCCAAATTGTAAACTGATATGATGCCTCACATTCTAAAATTTGTGGCTTTTCTTTTCCTTGCGTGTTCAGTCTCAGGATTTTTGTTATTATTATTCCTACTGTTGATTTCTAGGTATTAGTGCGAATGAGGCGACCACGCAAAGACAAGGATGAAGAAGAAATGATAGTTCTGAAAATTTCTAATGATTCTTTGACAATCAACGAGAAAACTTTTACATTCGACTCGGTTGCAGATTGAGGCAACGCACGTAAGGCCTTCACGGAGTTGTGACTTTCTCCATATACTTAAATGAATAGTTTGCTTTAAATGATTGAGTTTCATCACAACTTTTGGTTGCCGCTAGATATGTTCCAGCTTATGGGAGCACCACTTGTTGAAAATTGTATGACAGTGTTCAACATTTCCATTTTTGCATATGGACAGGTATGTTGAATTTGCCTTTGTTTTGTTGTGTGTTGTGATATAGAATATGCGTAACATATATGAAGAGTGATTGTTGTTAAGACGGGATTTGGGAAATACTTGTATGCCCGGCCAAAGCATTGTTGGTTTGAAAGCATTTCTATCAATCAACAAGGTTTAACTCCTCAAGTATCAGTGTCTGTCTCACTATTCCTTTTTTTGAGGTAGATTTTTGGTGTAATTGGCCTATTTTAACTTTATAATTTCTTCCATTAACTCATTAATTAATTTTTACAGATTTACAATGAACAGATTACAGATTTTTTGAGTGTCTCTTTGCTCGTATAAACGAGGTAAATTTATTTTGTCTTTTGTATTGTTCTAATCTAATTTTATATCATATATCTGTTGGAAGCTGTTTGTGGAACTTCTTTCTACGGGAGCAAAACAAGAATGCTGATGGACAACTCAAGTATCAGTGTCTGTCTCACTATTCCTTTTTTTGAGGTAGATTTTGGGTGTAATTGGCCTATTTTAACTTTATAATTTCTTCCATTAACTCATTAATTAATTTTTACAGATTTACAATGAACAGATTACAGATTTATTGGATCCTAATCAAAAAAATATTCAGGTGAGGAGGATTGTTTTGCTTTCCCTTTTTAGAAGTTCTTCTTATAGTACTACTCACTAGGGCTTTTATCAACTTTTTTCTCTAGATAAGAGAAGATGCCAAATCAGGGATCTATGTTGAAAATCTCACGGAGGAGTCTTTATGTACAATGTCAGAGGTAAAGCAGCCTTTAATGAAAGTTTGCTCTATAATGCCACCTAGTTAAAATTCATTGTTTAAATTAAGCTGCTGTATTACACTGTCTATTACTTACCACTTCATCTCATTTACTCCTTTATCTACTCTTTCATCTCCCTATCTTTGACAACTGTTGCTTCCGTCTGGTTGGCTGCATTTGGTTGGCTGATATTTTAGACTTAAAACAGTCTTCATACGGTTTGAGGTAATATTAATAACCTGTATCTACAGTTTTTTAATTTTTGTTATTGACATTGAATGTATTAATTTGCTATGGCAGTATTAATGTTCATTGTTTGCCTTTTTCTGTCTGCTTTTATTTTTCTCTATGTTTGGTCAATGTATAATAGTCATACATTCATTTTTTTGTTTGCTTCTTAGTCATCTCTCTGTGTGTGTATATATACACATCATTTAGTCCTTCATCTCATTTACTCTTTCATTTCTATCTCTTTCACTCCTTTATCCCTGTATCTTTCATTTCTTTTGTTTCTATTGGTTGATTAATATTTTAGACTTAAAATTTTCAATGTAAAAAAGAGAAGTCAATATATGAACATCATATACAAAGCAAATAAAACAAAAAATACAACATAATCAAACGTGAACAACAAAAATCAATAGTACTTTAGCAAAGTTAGAATATCAATATAAAACGTTTAAAAGTTATGTGTAGAAATTGATAATATTCATCTCTCTGTAATTTGTGTGTTTTCTGGTTTGTAATGAAATAAGGTGTTAGCTAACCCCTGTCTAGCTTCATTCCTTCAACAACTTCCAATTCATTGTACAAAGTTCTCCCATCCTGCAACAATTCAATATAGTTTAGATATACAGAAACTTGCTGGAACATAAAAATCAGAACAGACCATTCTATTTTTTAGTTGTACGGAGTAAAAAGAACATGCTTGAACCATTCTATTTTCTCTGTTGTCTTTCTTGTGTTTGCGATCTATGTTTCTTCTGTTACATTGAGGATATCTATTTGGGCTAATTATATTTAGTTAAGGTAATATATGAGTGCATTTTATAACAACAAATAGTTGTTTTTGTTTTTTTTTCTTGTTCTTGTTCTTTGGTTATAATAACAATAACAAAAGAGAACGTAAGTTGTTCATGCTATAAATATATGTCTTCAATTTCCATCTATAAGTACGTAAAATTTGAAAAAAAGATGGAAATAAAATTACTCAAAAGTGGATTAGCAACATGATGACTATATTAGCTCATCCAAAAAAGAAAATAAGTCAGTTTGAGTCCTGTTTATGTAACATATTAAAGAAACCATCAAAAGACTAACACATTAAAGAAAACACGAAGATTATGTTAAACTAAAAGATATGAAGAGGAAATGGTATACTGTCCATCTAGCTTGCAATATATCTCACTGATGGAGTTATTCCTTATTTATTGGGTGTACTAATTAGCATGTTATGCTCTCAAATTTCTCTCGTTCTTCAAATTTTATTCGAAATATCTATTGTCAGTTTTTTTTAATTGAAATTTCTTTCTACACCAAATGAGAGAATGGGTGACCAACCATATTTCATAATTAATTAACTTGTTTACGTCCATCTAAGTACATCTACAAATTACACTTTGTCGGGACTGTCAAATTGGAGGACAGGTGCAACTAGCATCAATGCTGAGAGTTCCGGCTCGAACACTGGTTTCACTTATGTTCTGGAATCGTGCAAGGTGCAGCGCCAGCCATCCTCTGTTGGACTTTTCTGCTGCTATATATATATATATATATATTAGATTATTGTTGTTTATTCAGTAATGTTTATCAGATTATCGATATATTATAATTGATTCTTCTCATAGTAATGTTGGGGCCCATTAATTAATATCAGACTTTTTTCTCGGTTCTAGGCTTTGTCTAAACTTACTCTATTCTCTTCCTTGGTTCCTTCAATTTAATTATTCATTGCTTGATTTCTTTAGTGTATTTCATTAACCCTTAATGAATACAGATTTTAAATTTGATAGTAATTAATTTTAAAGTCTTAACTTTCTTTGCGTTAATTTTCATCTCTAATAACTTTTCCTTATAGTACCCTTTGTTCTTTAAACAATATCTAGATTTCAGGATGTCTGTTTCTTTTTAATTTCATTCTCAATGTTCTGTCATTGTGAAAATTCTTATATCATCATATTTATTTTTATTTTTTATTAAATTTCATTTGTGCTACCATTATCATAGTCTTTTAATGTAAGAGTCTTCTCTTGTCGAAGTTAAACACTTATTGTTTTAGTTGTAATTTTTCTTTTCTTATTTGTAATGTCCAATTTAATCTTCAGCCATTTTATTTGTTCTTTATTTTTCGTAATCTTTTTACCTCTTCACATTTAAAAACATAATGTTTAATTTACACTTTTAAACTCTGCTGATATTTTATCTGTCTTCTTCAAACTTACAAAACTATAATTTGATAAGTTACGGGTGGACGCGACAATGGACTCTGCTTGCTTGTCAACCTCCCCAACAGGTCGTTCCTTCTTCCTCCTATCCACTGATGGTCGATTTGTGCTACCATTATCATAGTCTTTTAATGTAAGAGTCTTCTCTTGTCGAAGTTAAACACTTATTGTTTTAGTTGTAATTTTTCTTTTCTTATTTGTAATGTCCAATTTAATCTTCAGCCATTTTATTTGTTCTTTATTTTTCGTAATCTTTTTACCTCTTCACATTTAAAAACATAATGTTTAATTTACACTTTTAAACTCTGCTGATATTTTATCTGTCTTCTTCAAACTTACAAAACTATAATTTGATAAGTTACGGGTGGACGCGACAATGGACTCTGCTTGCTTGTCAACCTCCCCAACAGGTCGTTCCTTCTTCCTCCTATCCACTGATGGTCGCCTCACCATCGACTTTCTCTATTGGGGAGACTTGTTCGGAGGACTATTGTTGCGACGGAGGGTTGCGCAGTGAGACTTGCACTGCCTATGACAATAACCTGACCCGGATGGACGCGAATTCAATTGTTCATCCCAACTTCTAAGGTACGCAATCCAAATTACACAGCACTCTTTTGATTCTATTGGATATTCATGACTTTTTTCAACGAAGAAAGCCTCATGTATACCTCTCCCCTGGTTGATGTGCCCACTGTAAAAGTCATGGCGGCCTAAGGTTGGGGGCGACGGGATTAGGTGTTTTGGCGCCGCCATGGGGCGCGCCAGGGCTGGGGATGGCTGGGC